TTGACACAATAACGCCCTAAGACCTAAATTGAAATAATCTTATCTTTTTATTTTCTAATTACACTAGCGAAAGCATCAATATATCAAATCATTTATCATTATATATACACAACACTATTCAAAATCAAGGAACAATAACAAGAAGTTCAATCTATAACATTAATCTATCACTAAACATGATTGGCTTAAAAATAATAATAATAAATACAATATAATAAACTAAATCTTAAATTTGACTATGATCAATCTCACCTATCCATCCCCTTTCTGAACTTGAAATCAATCAAATCGATATAATGAGCACATAGCCCAACAAATAACTAAAGCCAACCTCTGCATTCATTGCAAGGTCTCAAGAATCAATTGCATGCTCAGTTCAATTAATATAAAAGAAGTGGTCATTAATATGAAATTTGAGATGAATATATCAAGAAATTAATATAATCAATAAAATATAAACATCTCAAGAAGCAAGGGAATCCATCAATAAATCAATAAAAGTCCATAAAGAAATGTAAGGTGTCGTACAATAAATTATGTCAATTGTTTATCAATTATATTTATCACAATGTTATATCTTATATTTTATATCAATGATCATGCCATGTGTACCATGTAATAACATTGTACTACATCAATATGTCTATCAATGTCTATAAATATATCTATCATATGCTATGCCATATAATATCAATTTCAATGTAAAGCTAGTTTTATCAATTTTATCTATCAATCTGTTCATGTACTATCATATAAATGGAATCATGAATGTGATTGGAAGCACTAAAATAAGACATTTAGCTTTAATGTATTATTTTCATTCTTTAATCTATCATTGATAAGTCTTATCAATTATTCATTATATTGTTATATCATCATCATTATGTCATCATTACTGGTGGCTTTAAATAATCTTTAATGAGTCATAGTCATTTTCCTGTCATCGTAATTTAGTCAATCAATTATATATTAACATCCATGATTATATTTATTTTAGGGAATGCTCATAAGTCTATACTCCTACACAACATATTCACTATAAAGAAAATCGTCTTTTTTAGAGGCCATTTCTGCAAAAATGGCCAAATATGTTGATAATTTATATTTTTGGCAGATTTTTTTTTACGGAAAATTTTTCAACGGTAAAACACGAATCCAAAAATAAACACAATCGAAAAATTCCACCAAAAATATTTCCGCCAGAATTTTTGCAAAAATAATCCGTCGAAAATATTTTCTAGTGGATATTTTGACTAAAATAACTTGTATAAAAATTTTTTAAAAAAATTGTTCCAACCTAACAGAACAGTTGCCCACTTGTGAACCAGGCCATCCTGCTCTCCTCTACCCGTGAAACAAACCAGCAGGATCTGCACGCCACGCATGAACCATGCCCTTCATGGGCCCGTGAATCAGGTCCGCCAGCGAACACGCGAACCCTCATGCCCCCACAATTTGTGGGATTCGAGCCCTGCCACCCGCTACTATAGTGAATATATCCAGTAAGCTGTGGTGCATACCTTATCTTGTGAGCTGCTTCTTTTTTTAAAAAAAATTAAATGTTAATATTATTTTATTGATTTAATAATATAGATTTAATTAGTTAATTAATTTATTTAACTTAGTTAATTAACATAATAATAACTTTATTTAATTTGATAATAAGTTATGAGATTACTGAATTTAATTAAATGAAATGATTAGTTTTAAATATTTATAATAATTATTTAAAAAAATTAAATTTTGTCAAAAATTCTTTAGAAATCTTCCAGAAAATTCCACCAAAAAATTCGTTAGAAATCTGCCAGTAAGCCATTGGAAATATTCTGTCAGAGATTTATCGAAAAATCCACAAGAATTTCTGATAGATTTATTTCTACAGGAAATTAGCATTTTTCCTGTATTAATTATATTTTAGGAGTTAACATATATTAATTATAGTATTAACAGCTAACTTTTAAAGCTTATATAAAAATATCACATTTTTTTCATATATGTTCATTTTTCTATGCAATGTAATTCAATATCATAAATAAAATATGCTAATATAAAAAGTGAAAGAAATCTAAACATTATTTATTTATTTCAAATATATATATATATATATATATATATATATATATATATATGAGTGCTTAATACACTATAGAAAAACTTGTATTTTCAGTGGCTTAAATAATTCGTTAGAAAAAGAGAAAATTTGGTGAAATTTTTGCATTTTCGTTGGATTGCCAGCGAAAATTGGGTTGACGATAAAATGAATGTCGAAAATATTATTCCCACAGTAGTCTTTCACCGGAGATACTTCTGACAAATTTACTGATGGACTTTCGCCTAAATTCATCATTTGCAAATTATTCTTCATAGTGGAACTGTATAGCCATAAATACTGGTGGACAAACTACCATAAAATTCCGTCTGGAACTAATTAGTGGAAATGTTTGATGGTTTATTTGCTGGTACTTCCGACAAAATTTTTCTACTGGAAACATGATGCCATTTCTTTATATCTTCATTTTAGGCGAATGTTCTGCCTAAAATTCGTTGAAAACCTGTATCAGAAATAAAACAAAAAAAAATAGTCCTCCCTCACATAGTTTATATAAAACAACAATCCTACATAAACCATATACACATATTATATTCACATTCAAACATTGAACATAAACCATAATGTTATATATATACTTAAATGTAATAACAAATTTGATTACAAAAAGATATTGAATAATCACCAAACAGTTTAAAAATAAATATAAAGTTTATTGCATAATAAAAATAAATAATAAAAATATACAAACATAAAAATGAAATGTCCAATAAAGAACTAAAATGTATTGTAATAATAATAATAAAAAGTCTAATTAGAATCTGTTGCATCATTCTCCTCATATACTGATGTTATATGCTTTCCACTTAACTTTAACCTCAATTTCTACAATCCATCTAACAACTGACTTTGTTGCATCTACATGTTAGCTTGTCATTTTCTGACTTTATCTAGCTCTGTTGTCAGGGTAACCACTTATTGGCTATACAATGACTCGTGATTGCTTGCTGAGAAGTTGGAGCCCTAGGTGTCTACCTCTCGTACGTGTAGGCTTTCAAACCTAAACCATAAACCCAACCTTTATGCATTCCATCTATTTCTTACGACTAAGTGCGATAGTCAGAATAATATATTGATCTCCTAGGAGATCATTTACTTTCTCCAGCCTAACTTTCTAGAAGCCGTATATACTCTTTCTATAAAAAGTTAATATAAGATTAATCAATTTACACATGAAACATAAATTTTAAATCTTATATACCAATGTAGGCTTTTCTTCTCTCATTAACTCATTGTTGGTCCTCCTGCCTCTTGTGGGTATGACTATGCAATTTAACATCGGTTAGCTCTCTTCCCAACAACTCTCTTTGCAATACACTTACATTAGAATGCATAACTAAACAAATTATTAAAATATTTTAAAATTTCTTACCAAATGTAACATGTGCTCAATATATGGAGGGAATTACCTATGCCCCCAACATCAAAAGCTCAATTCTGTTTAATCCGGCCCCTACTGGCATAATATGGGCTGACTTTCCTGTAGTAGATGGGGAATCTACACTTAACGAAGTCACCTTGTGTACTTAATCGGAAGCATGAATTTCACTCAAAGGAAAAAAAAAATATTGAATGAGCTTCAATAAATAATATCATACAAATGTCACACTTTGGATCGAATATCTTATCTTTTAGAAAAAAAAAGTCAAGCTTTAGAAAATAGACTCTCCCCTTTTTGCGACAAGATATGTATTAAGAAGAGAGTTTTTCATTATAAGCGATGAGTCTAGATGGCTACCCTTATGAAGACAAAACTCTCATGAAAGTTGAGGCCTATCATATGTGCCGACTTAGTTAAAAGAAATAAACGATAAAAAATGTTTGGTAAAATTTGAAAATTTTCTCAAATTGGAATATCTTTAGATAATTTTTATTCAATTTGTTCACATACATTTTCTATTCAACACATTTTAGATACTAATTCGATCAAATTAACTTTGATGCATTATTTTAGTGTTCTTTTAGGTTTCACAAAAGAGATGAAAAATAGGGAACCAAATGCATCTCTTAAATCACTTATTGTGAGCTCGAAGCGAATAATATTGTTAAAATAGATCAATCCAAGTGATCAATTAGATTAGACCAAACTAATCAATAGCTATACCAATCCTTGCATCCGAAAAATAAGAGGGCAAGGCTAAAGACCATCACAACTTATTTGTCTCTACGTCTCTAATTTTATTAATAAAATCATAAAAATTCTCTCATATTTTTTCTCTCTCTCTCTCTTTTAATTTATAATTTTGATAGTTAGTCTTAGAAGGTCCGGATATCACCTACAAATAAATTTAAGTCCAGCAATGAATTTATGACTTAAATTTGAGGTTAAATTCTCAATTTAGTTAAATAATTGAAAGCTTTGACTCCAAATCTTAAATTTATGACCTAAATTATCTATCCCAATCCCCATCAATGCTCCAACCCACTCAATGAAATCAGCCACCTAAGTTGTGGGACCCATTCCAAACCATTTCGAGCAAACCCCGGGATCGGGTACAAAGCTTCAAACATGAGACACGGAGGCCAATTGTGTAATATACCATCCGAAGAAGCGTATCCGGCTTTCTTATTTTTTAATCACGAGGCGATCCATGATTAGGTCACATGATTGTACGTAGCGGGCAATTTGATCGGTCATGCCCCATCTACTGATCGACACGTGTCCTTAAATTCTTTAATATCCCGCTCGGTTCGTAAGTTTTCCACTCCGATCTCCACTATTTAGATTTCTAAGTTCTTTCACCGCCCACAAGACGACGACAGATCAAAAGGTGAAAAAGCTAAGGGAAATGGGAAGACTTGGGGTAACGAAGGGAGAGGGCCCTCTCCCTCTTCATATTTCGCTTTCTCGTCCTATAAATAGCAAAAGGGAAGGCCTCATCCCTACCCCTCGCCGGAAGCAAGCCCCGTTTTTGCCTCTCGTCTCTACTCCTCCCTCTCCATCGATCGTCGGCGGCTTTGAAAAGTGAGAGAACCAGACGAGAGTAAGAGATGGGGAGAGGGAGAGTGGAGCTGAAGCGGATTGAGAACAAGATTAACCGTCAAGTAACCTTTGCCAAGCGCCGTAACGGCCTCCTCAAAAAGGCCTATGAGCTCTCCATCCTCTGCGATGCGGAGGTCGCTCTCATCATCTTCTCCAACCGCGGAAAGCTTTACGAGTTCTGCAGCAGCTCAAGGTATACGATTAAGAAGCATTTTGCTTTTATTATGCCTTTCGGATTAAATTGCTTCGTTGCCGTTTTGGTGAAAGGTGGAAAAAAGAAGGGAGCAGATCAGCTGAGAAAAGAAACTGATAGTATTCGGAACTGGTTTGTCCTTTGTGCTAGCCTGATTCGTTGCTTATTTTTAGGGTTGGTGCAGCGGGTAATCTTAGCTTTGGTCGTGTTTTGCACTTTGGGGGTTAGAATTGTGGAAGAAAGGTAAAAGTCTGTTTTGCTTTGGGAGAGCAACCACTAAGAAGCTTGGAAATTATAGATTGAAGACACGTTATGTTCTCTACTGATTTAGGAGTTAGGTCTGCTAACTTTTAGATCCCTGTGTGCTTGCTTTCGTGTTTTTCTACAAAAAAATTGATCTACTTTTTATAGCCAAAAATTAAGCCTGTCTTGTTTCTTTCCTTGTCTCTTTCCTCCTTGATTTTCATCTAAGTTCCATTTACGGGAGTGAACAGATGAATACTTACCGAGCCGGGAGCATAACGATCGATCTGCTTCACATACTCTTGAGTTTTAAAATTATCCTTGCTTCCATCTCCCTTTTCTTAATTTCAGGCTAAAATTTCTCTCTTGAACTTATGGGGTTTGCTTTGAACAAATAATTTAATCAAGAAGCTTTCGGTTATGCTGTTTTATGAAGTGAAGGCAGGCAGGCCAAGATTAATCTCTTTACCCTATAAGATTTTCCGGGATAGTTCTATGTTTAAGAGGGGCCCTAGGATTGTAAAAATTTCGTCCGCGGCATTAAAAAAGGAAAGTGATATTTATGCTTCGGAAATCCTATGCCAAACTGAAATCTTTGCATGGCTGCTTATAGGCTCCGCAGTATTTGTAGTAACATCTCTTAAATATGCTTCCTATTATCATTTCTATTTTTCTCGCTTTTCTCCCCAGGTATCATCAATAACTTCACTATATCGAAATACACATGGGAAATCGAAATCTCCTCTTTTTGTTAGTCCATGCAAGAATAGATCTGACCTTGCAACGGCGATACCCTTCGTATCATATATGTCAACGGGTTCCGTGTTTTGGGAAAATAGACCAAAGCATTAATCCCTCAGTCGGTAGAGTGCCTTGCTTATAGGAGTTTTTTTTTTGTAGCCATAGGAGTTAATTTAGGTCCAGTTACTCTAAAGGGTTAATGGATTGCCTTGCAATTAATGATATTGAAAACAAAACGATTTACGCTTCCTGTCGATCATGCATCGTTAGAACATCTCTTTGGTTTTTACGCTTTTTGTTCCGAAATAATCTCATACTTCTTCCCTTTAAATAGGAGGTACAAAGGAATGTTAAAGTAGCAGCATTACCTCTAGGTATTTAGTTGTATACTTTAACCTATAGTTTTCTAAATATAACTTCTTTTTTTTTTTTGTAACTTAATGCCCTTATATATAATACAGCAATTCCGGAAGGCTTTTGTTGAATTATCTTTACATTGCGAGATTATAGAAAAAGATATGGCAGAAAATCTTAAGATTTTTCGGCTAAAAACAATCATAATATCAACAAACATTGTTGAATCAGTAAAATTGGGATCGTTTAAGCAAGCCACCATCAACGAAGTCACCGCATAAAGTTCAACAAATAATACCCGGACGGCATGAGTTTTTCAGTTTACATGTAAGCCCATTTACTTTTACAATTGCATATATAATTTCATCAAAATAATTCAGAATAGTTGAAATTAACCTCACACTCAAACAATTTATCTTCCAATGATAAGAATAAATCTAATTATTACTTATTTCAACTCAAGAGGAATCTAAACAATCCCCACCATAAGTACAAATTTTGCATTTATTCAAAAATCTTGAAGTCAAATCAAACTTGTAACATATATGTGACCACCAATATCAAATACCTATCTAACATACATATGTACTAACTATAGTGGCTCAAGGACCGGTGAGCAAATACTTGCAAATATGTTAGTTGTTAGTGTTAGATGCACTTCGAATGCCACAGATACTTGCATGAAGGAAAAATCCAAATTTGATGGAAATTAAGTATAATTACAATTTAATATTTAAGAGACAAATTTGACATATGCACTCTTATAATGTGATTCATGATAATTAATCATGAAGTATACATGCATAATTATAATAAATAAAATCACAAGCATTGAGATAGACATTTTAGAGAGTAGTACATATTCCTACATATCAACGGCGCTAAATAACGCATATTATTGTCTATAGCATTGCGGAGCACACTTACATTATTTTTAATGCAAGGCCTAACTAAGCAAAAGATAGTGTGCTTTGTGTACGCTATATCACATATGATATGCTTGAATTTATTTTTCTAGTTTTTCCTTTTTTAAATCTTTGGTTGATTAATTTATTTAGAGTATTCGTATGAAAAAGAAAACTTTGTTGAAGGATAGACATAGCATAGAAGAAGATTATCATTGCTAAGTTTAACTATCATTGAAATATATTTGCATAGCCTTTTGATGCAAGTTTTTAATATGCTCAATTAATACCACATTCAATTAACATGATATTGATAATATTTTTTCTCTTATGTTATTAAATTTTTTAATAAGCTATTCATGCGTCTTAATGTATCATGTTATTTTGAATAAATATACACCACACTATTTGCTATGCATTATTACTCCATAGCTTCGTTATGCTATGGTGTTTTATTAACTATTGACAATTATTGGCATACAAAGAATTATTATAATGAACCTATGACTTAAATTTATTATACTTGACATTACATATATGAATGACATTATAATAGATCGCAAAAACTCAATATGACCATATTATGAATCAATAACAGAATATAAGTGCAATGGTCTGATCAATTCAAATTAAATTATATTTCCATATTAATTATATTCATATATCCAAATAACTCAGAGATGAAATACCAATGGCTATCCCTAAAAAAATACTCATTAATCTAGCTATAGTTAAAAAATGGTGTGAAACCATGCAAAAATTTGAAGTCTTTATATGTCATAAATATACACATTGATGATTACAAGGAAATAAGACAAGTAATTTACCAAAGTTACATTTTGATATTGTCAATATGTTTCATAATAAAAGTTTTAAAAGGTGTCGAGGTATTAGATTTGGCTTAAGTCAGTAAATCCGCCGGAATATCTCTGGCACAAACTACGTTATTATTTAGGTACCCCCTTGAAGACCTATACACGTCTTTCTTGACGATTTGTCTGTAGTGAATGATAAAAATTAAAGTCATCTTCTCCTTGCTCCATCTATAAATTAGGACATCTGCATCCCACCAAGAGTTCATAAGCTGGATAAGCTCATAATCAAACATCATATATTGATATACACCTTGAAGCAACACAAAAAAATGATAGGATAATGATGGACTTGCTCAGTGTAGAGAGAATTGAGAACAACAATCCCACCACACAATAGAGTTTCACATTTAAAACATGAAATAAAAGCTTTAAATATCGCATAAATAACACCAAACACACTAACACAGTTAAGACAGAACAGCACAAGGACCACCCAAAGCTTTAAGCAAACCATACTCCCCTCAATTAACAACACCATACACACCAACACACTTAAAACCACCCAGCAAAAGGAATCCATATATAAATCAGGACACAAACCACATGAACGAATAAGCAATGAGCCCAAGGAAGACAACAAAATATAAAACACCAACATCAACACCCATCATCCTTAAAGAAGAAACACTATGAAACCCCCAAACCTTCCCATATATAAGAATAGACAACACAAACACTAACATAAATAAATAGCATCAGAGAAAGACCAAATCAAATAAGAAATCCAAGAACAAAACAAATACTAATGGAATCCAATGAAGACAAGTAAAAAAGGAAATAGAAATTGCAAACCAAGCACCAAAGAACCAAAGCCAATCCCTAAACTAAGCACCCCATACCAACAACCAAAAAACAACAAGCATAGAACAAACCAACATAAAAATTAGCAAAAAAATACCAAACAACACCTTAGCCACAAAGAATCAAAGGCCCAATACCAAATAACAAACCAAATGGATGAAAAACCAACAAAAGAACACAAACAACAGAAAGGATCAAGTATTTTGAATATAAGGCAACTCAGACTTATCCAAATTAATTAAGCTAGCCTTTCACTATATGAGGTAAATTCATAACATTAAATTCCTGATAAGCAACAAGATGGAAACTAAATTTAGCCAACTAATATATAGAAGAATTAACTTCGTTCCCATTGAATATGAGAAGGATAAAAATTCAAATTGTTGAGGGATTAATGCTTAATTTTTCTAATAAGATAAAAATTTTGAGGGCTACCAGAAACCACATCATTAGGGATATAAATAATAAGCATAGCATCAACTTCAATCCAGACATTCACAACCCATAATCTATAGCATAGATCTAACCCATAGGACAAGGTCATGAGCTCAGCAGTAATAGCTAGCATTACGTACATAAATTTAAAGGACCAGTAAAAGCAGCTATAACATTACCAAAGTGTTTCCTAATAATACCTCTAACACCTGCATAACTGGCACCAATAGACCTATCAAAATTTAATTTGCAATAAAGCATAGAGGGTTTAACCCACCTCACGTTCAATTCTATCCAACATATCATAAACCCTGGAAACGTTATAAATACCCAAATCAACAACAATATCATATATAAGACTTCTTAAAGTTAGTAAATGAGATGAGATTCATAGAGTATAACTACAAGATTTTATTTCTCAATTTGGCAATGATGCGACTGACTTCATCTTAATGTCATTATGTTTAGAATCATTTTAGCCATCCAAAGGAACAACAAAATAAGGATAGGCAATAAGTTGAAAATATGACGTTTAATGGGACTATACCAATACTGTAAAATAGAAGACACATTACTATTGCTGCTAAAGTCACCCATATTAGCCAAATAAAAAAAATAATTCTAGACTTTTTAATTGGGCAATATC